GCCTTAATTTTTTGGAAAATAAAACTCGATCGACAGATTCCCCGATGTTTTGCAGTCGGTAATAACCTTCAACCCCTTTAGCCAGTAATTAACCCCTCCTCCCTGTGCCCAGTAGCATAATTCGGTCGAATATTTATTGTTCAATAGGGGTGCCTTATAATTAATCACAGGCACCTGAATTTTTATCGGTAAGTCTCTAAATTAGACAAATATCGAAACATTCTCCCCCCTCTATATATAAATACACAACGTGTGCAACGTCATTTTGACCACCTGTTTGACTAGGCTTCAATTAAACACATAAATCGGATATGCCTACAGGTTTTCGTGTAGTATTGGGTTCAAATATGATATTTCTCGCTATACATTTTTTCCCTAAAGTTTAAATCTAACGCGTTGATAATGTTATCAGCTGAACTTCATGCTGACTTTGAATTTCGGCCCGATCGCCATCAGCTGATGTCACGGAAAGTTAATCTCAACACCAAATGCTCCTAAACATTTTTTTTTTTTGATACAACAATTTTAAAATTTTTTTTGACAAACAAAATCAGAAAAAAAAAATTAAAAAGAGAGATTATGCTGTTTTGATAGTCTAGATTTTTTTAACATATGTTATATGTGTTAGAAACAAATTATAGGTACTAGGTAGAGGCTTTGTTGAAGTTTCCGTTGTCGATAGGTAGCGCCTTATGGAAGTTTCCGGTGTCGATAAAAACTGGACACATGCCATAAAGCGGTTACTAAGCTAACCGTTTAAAAAAAATTATTCATTTATATTTGAAATTGAAAATACAATAAATTAGTCAATCATTTATATCCGCAAAAAATTGTATTTCTATAGAGTTTTATTCTATTCATTTTTTTTTTCATTTGATAATGGAGTGACTTTCTACCTTTTGTAAAAATAAAAAAAAAAAAGACAGCAGGGGTACTAGCGCATTTTGGAATGTTTTAGTTTTTTTTAAATCAATACAATAATTGATTTTGAATAGTTAGTAAAAAAAAAAAATAAACTTATTAACTGCATGTATTTAATCATTAAAAACAATGTCTTGATTTTTAAAATTGACGATACAAACAAACTAAATCATATACCCGAAAATGAGATTTGTTTTGCATATTCTATGTAAACTGTTTTATAATAAATATGTATCAAAGTATTTTTGAAGCATATTTAAACTTTTTTAAAATTATTTTCTTCCATGACGGTTATCAAAATAATTGTCTCAATATGCACAATGTTTACCCGTCAATAGTTTCTTTGATATTTTTACTTTGTTTTGATTGAAGAAATCAGTTCTCATACAAAGAGAAAATGTTATTTCAAACAGCTGCAAACTACACATGGTCGTCCTGTCACAACATAAACAAGGTATAGCGGTATGAAAAAGATAAAAGGTGTCATGACCGTGTACCCCAGTTAATTACTGGTAAACATCAATGGCTTTGATGTTTTTTTAGAACCGTTTGGGGTTTAAAACCGTTTTTTCAATAAAACAAAGTATCAAAAATCAAATTGACAGATTAAGATTGTGCATAATAAGCCGATTATTTTGATATAAATCATGGACTTAAAATAAAAAAAAGTCGTTTTAATACGCTAATAAAATACTTTTTAGAACTCTATGGATGCAAGTGTTTATAAATTTTAATGTAAATCTAACGAAACACAATTTCTTGCAGATTGTATGATTCATTAACTTGTAGTATTTTCAATTTCAAAAAAAAAAAATAGATAGATATTTTATTAATATTTTTTTCATTATTCATGTATTTTATTTTATTAATTAATATGAATTTATTTCGCTGCAATCTGTTTAATTTGTTAAATACTGATTTGACTTTTTACCATTTGTAAAAAAAAAAGAAAGAAAAAAGAACAAAAAAAATCGAGAGACACAGCAGGGGGTATTGGTGCATTTTAAGATAATTAATTTTTTTAAAAATCAATACAATAATTTATTTTAAATAGTTAGTATACAAAAAACAAAAAATAAATAAACTTATTAACTGCATGTATTTATCTATTATAAAAACAATTTTTTTTTTTTTTTAAATTGACTATACAAACAAATTAAATAATCAAATCCCCAAATGGGATTTTTTTTTGGCTTATTTTATGTAAAAGGATTGACGGAAAAATATGTGTCAAAGTATTTTTAAGCATATTAAATCTGCTTTTATTTATTTTACTTCCATGATGGATATCAAAATAATTGTCTCATTGTGCACAATCCTTACCCGTAAATAGCTTCTTTGATACTTTTATTTTGTTTTGTTTAAAAAAAAAAAATAAGTTTCATAAAAGAGAAAATGTTATTTCCAACAGTTGCAAACTCTACACGGCCACTCTGAACACAACATAAACAAGGTATAGCGGTCAGTGAAAAAGACAATAGGTGTCATGACTGTGTACCTATTTAATTATGGTAAACATCAATGGCTTTGATATTGTTTCAGTATCGTGTTCAGGTTTTGAAAACCGATTTTTTCAATGAAAACAAAGTATCAAAAATCAAATTGACAGATTAATTATCCATAATGAACATTTTTTTAATATTATCATGTATTTAAAATAATAAAAAGTTGTTTTAATACGCTAATAAAATACTTTGTAGAACATCAGGATAGAAGTGTTTATATTAAATAAAACTAAAGAAACACAATTTCTTGCAGATATAAATGATTCATTAATTTGTTGTTTTTTCAATTTATTAAAAATAAATTGATTAATATTTTATTAATATATTTTTTTTATTATATATTTATTTTTTTTTATTTATTTACTATGAATTTATTTCGCTGCAATCTGTTTTATTCGTTAAGTGCTGGTTTGACATTGTACCATTTGTTAAAATAAAAATAATAGAAAAAAAAAAAAAAAAAGAAAAGAAAGAAAAAAGAGAAAGAGAGACGGGGGGGATTGGTCATTTTAAAATAATTTTTTTTTTTTAAATCAATACAATAATTGATTTTAAATACTTAGTAAAAAAAAAAGAAAAAAAAACAATTAACTGCATATATTTATTTATAATAAATGCAATCTTTTTGATTTTTAAAATTGACAATACAAACAAATTAAATAATCAAATACCCGAAAATGGGATTTTTTGGCTTATTTTATGTAAAACGATTGACGGAAAAATGTGTGTAAAGTATTTTTGAAGCATATGAAATCTGCTTTTAATTATTTTACTTCCATGATGGATATAAAGTAATCGTCTTATTATGCACAATCTTTACCCGTCAATAGCTTCTTTGATACTTTTATTTTTTTTTGATTGAAAAAAAATTAAAGTCTATCAAAGAGAAAATGTTATTTCAAACAGCTGCAAACTACACACGGTCGTCCTGCTACAATATAAACAAGGTATAGCGGTAGTGAAAAAGATAATAAGTGTCATGACTGTGTCCCCCGGTTAATTTCTGGTAAACATCAATGGCTTTGATGTTTTTTCAGAACCGTGTTAGGGTTTTGAAAACCGTTTTTTAAAATAAAACAAAATATCAGAAATCTAATTGACGGATTAATATTGTGCATAATGAGACGATTATTTTCATATCCTTCATGGACTTTAAGTAATAAAAAGTCGTTTAAATATGCTAATTAAATACTTTGTAGTAGTTTTAGAAAATAAATAAAATAAAACTAAAAGATCAAATTTTGGGGGATAAAAATGAGTGATTAATTAAAAAGAAAAATGAATTAATTTATATAATTCTCATTAATTATTTATCTATTTATTCATTCATTCTTAACTCAGTCGAGTTGTAGATTTATTCACATAGGAAAATAAATGAATAAAAAATATTTTTATTTTAGTTAATTATTTTCATTTATTAAATAGACATTTATTTTATTACTGCATTTATATGTCATTACTTTCAATAATTTTTTTTATTTTTGGTAAAACAAAATATCCCATGCATGGATTTTATAATGTATTTCCAAATGTTTAAATCTAGTTCTTTTACAAAGACAGTTATTACGCTCAAAGATGTTTAAAGTAATCAAATAAAAAATGAAAAAGTTTTTATATATATATATATATATATATATATATATATATATATATATATATATATATATATATATATATATATATATATATATATATATATATAAGGTTATAAAGTACATTGTATAAACCCTCTAGCATCACAAGATGAAATAAATTGGTAATTCATTTCTTCTTTATAATGATGCTATTTTTGCCCCACTCCCCGAAATGCTACCAAACTAAAAAATAATCACATTGATACAAGTATTAGAAACTAAATTGCAGGGGATTTGTTAAGGCATTCAAAAATTGTCAGCTTTTTACTAAGTCTATACTTTGTTTTTCAAAACAAAAAAAAAATACTTAAAGTTTTTAAGACTATATCATTTTTCACTCTTAAAGGCAACAGAAATATTTTTAACTCCTTTTTTTTTGGGAAAATAAATGTAGGGGACGACGGGGAGTAGACAGGAAACGCAGGGACAACGACAGGGGACGACAGGGACTGGAAGGGAGATCAAAGAATGTCAGGGGGACAGGGAGTGCAGGGAAAAGGGAGGGAAAAAAAGGGGAGACAGGGACTGGACAGGGAGAGACAGGAAAATAGGGCTGACGGGGGACAAAAGGGGATTTTTTTGGAATCTAAGGAGATATTTAATTCAGTAGTGAAATGATCTATAATGTCAATGTGATGAGCCATGGTACAACCCAGGACTTGTTCACAAGTGGCAGCCCAGATGGAATGCCCAGCCAATTGTCCACATAATAGAATGCACAAACAAGCAATTCTCTGTAATTGATTAATGGGATGTCCTTGTTGCCCGCATTCCAAGTAGACCTGGTTGGGCCATCTGTGGTGTCACTTTCAGTGGTAGTAACATACACAGCTGTTGCTGGTACAAATAGTATGGAATCAGCATTTAGCCCTTCACTAATTTCCCTCTGTTGTGGATCCAGTAGTAAAGAGGTTGCTGTTTCCTCAGGTTCTGTAACCAGCTATTGGTAGGAGGGCTCCTGTAAATTGTCAATTGTCTGAGCATTCACAACTTTGCCATTGCTATGCTCAGGCAAAGCATCACTCCCATGAGGCTGTGTATCTGCAGTCAAGTCCAGGGTTTGCTGTTGGCAATGAGATGTATCATTAGTGTCTGGAGTTGTTTGGCAACTAGCAGTTGAATACTCACTACTCGGTTGCCATAACTCCGATGGACTGCCATCAGGAACATCTTTCTCTTCTATGTCAGGTGTTGTTGAAGTTCCAGGAATATTGAGATCACCAATCGACACCATGGTATTCCACCGAGTACTAGCAGGTGATTTATCACCACTCTGTATTTGTGGAAAACTTGGTTGACTCTTTCTTGGAACTGTGGACATCTGCTGCTGGTGGCACACTGCTGCAGTAAATGTTGGCTGCTGCTGCTGCTGTTGATTGTTTACTGCTACAGGCAGGACAGTTTCACAGCTGCTGGCGTCTCCAGGTTTCAATGGTGAAGAACCATGTGATAGTTCCTGGCCTTGGTTGTTTGGAATTCCATTGGCTGGCATAGAAGGACACTGCACAGCTTCCCCATCCTGTGTGTGTGTGTGTGCCAACGGTGGTGGTGGCATTGGTGGTCCTCCATACATGCATGGTTGGGGGTATGTCTGTTGTGGTACCATGTATCCAGGTTGAAACCTTCCAGGATGTGGGCCATAAGCATATAGTATGCTTGGATTTGGCTGTGGTGGTCCAATGAATGGTTGTAGGAATGGTCCACTATATCCAGGAAATGGTACTGGATAGCTCCCAGGGACTGGTACACAAGGAGTTGGATACCCGTATGGATTAAGAGTTGGCAGGTATGGTCCACCATAGTATCCAGGAGGTGCTGCACAAGGTGTCATTGCTGGATTCATCGTGTTGTTTTCAGTAGTTCAAAGTTACGGAAATGATCACGATGTTTGATACTACTGAAACAGTCAGTCGGAGAATGTATGTATATTGCTGTACGTTATACGCTATTCCATTATTTCTTTCTATCTTTTTCTCTCTATCTTCTTTTATCTTTAATGTTTTCTATCTTTATATTCGTTTACTGATGAATTAAACTTTAACACAATGAATAATTGTATCTGAGCTGGTTTAACTCAACAGTAAAGTTCCTGGCGAATTAGTTAGATTTTTTCTCTTTCCTTTCTATCCTTTTCTCTCTATCTGTATATCGCTGGTAGTTATATGAATTGATAGTGTTTCCCCTATCTTTGCTTTTATTTGATAATTCGGTATTGGTCCAAAATGCTAATTCTCTTATCTATCTCTTAATTAATTACTCAATAAGTAAATTAACTTGCGTAATTACTGCACTGACTCTTACAACGTTAATGTAAACGCCAGATGGCAGACGGCGGTAGCAGTAAGCACTGATGTTAATAAAATAAATACCTGATAAAATAATTAATCAAAGAATATTATCAATCAATGACGTTATATGTATTGATTATATTTTTGCAAAGATATTCAACGTCGTTGCACAGAGCTAATACTCTACAAAATCAGTTCACTGTTATTCAGAGCGAGCACGTGCGCTTTGATGTATTATATTATAGCTAAAACAGGTAAACCGGTTTGTGTGAACTTAGCTCTATTAAATTACATGAACATAAAACTAACAAAACACTATATCCCCCTACTTTCCCCCAAAATATTTTTAAGGAAATTAGAGAGAAAAAGGAAGTTAGCTTACGTACTACGCGAAAACGTCACTGGCAGCTTGGCGCCAAAAGCGGGAAAAATGGCGTCCGACAAGACGAGTGACGAGCAAACAAAATGTCGAATAAATCATAAACAAAAATTCTATGGGTCAAAACAACAAAATTATCGCATTAACGTTTATGAAAACGCCTGAAGCGATAATATATATAAAAATATGCAAAATATCTATCAAATATATGAAAAACGTAAGGCAGACGATATCACTCACGTGTCTACTGAAAACACGAGTGACAATGAAAAATATGGATTTGACAAAAACGTAGGCTTGCAAAATATGAAAAAAATATCACACACAACGTTTAATGAAACGCACGTGTATGAAAGTATTGAAAAATTGCAAAAATCTCAGTTCAACAAGTTTTGCACACAACGTTTTCTGAAAACGCACGTGTACAAAAATTCGAAGTCTCAAAAATATGCACAAATGCACACAACGTTTATTGAAAATATGTATACTTGCGAAAAAAATTAGCACACAACGTTTAATTTAAACGCACGTGTACTTAATTACAAACTTTATTTACAAAATTTCACGACAGAAAGTTAAATAAACATGGCCAAATTTGTTGGGACCTCGTGCTACAACGCTATGTGAGCGCCCGAGCACGACGAGTTTCCGCTAAAATATCACAAAATGACCGTGAATAATTTAACAGAGGCAAAAATGTCGTGCATTTGTAGTATGCAGTCATAGTGATGTTAAATTAACGCCGATACAACTAATTCTCTACACAATAATTTCAAATTTGCAAAACATGTGGTAGGATAATCCTACCGGCGACGCCAATTGTCGTGGAACCGAGTTGGTTAAGACAATATTTTTTTTCAATTAATCTTCATCTTACAGTCAATAACAAAATATTTTTAAAAACCATGTTGTTAATGTTGTTGGGTTGTTTTCAGAATTCTGCCTTCGATTATTTTGAAACAAAAAGAAGCAATCGATTCTATTGCCATTTGCATGTTCTTGGAAGGTTGTCTCTGTTTTCTTTCTCTTTTACTCGTTTATACAGTCCTCGGATAAACTACTGCGTTTTTGAATTCTTTTTAATCAGTTATATTCCTTATATAAGAGTCAACGATTCTTTTTAAAAAATCCAGTTCAGTTGCACAATGTCTTATTTTATCGGGACGATTTTTTAAAATAATATTTCTAAACATTAAAAAATGGCCTTCAACAGTTTTCTCTTATATGTCCGATTGTGATGTCACAAATATTACTAATGTTGATGACTAGAAACACGGCGAACATCCATCCATTCAAATAGGAAAATTTTGTAAACATTGTTGACTAGGTTTTGCCCTTGCATATGGAATTTTTTTCAGGAGTTTAGAAAAGATATTCTGCAAAAACTCATCAGTATAAATGAGGCTGGTGCCTTACCAGGCGACAGCAAACAAGGTAAATGAATAAATAGTAAAGGGGGTGAGTCCAGGTAACCGATCGATGGTAAACAAACAGGTATAACCGGAAACAGGTAAAGAGTAGTGTTCACACTTAGGAATCAGGACCAGGACTGACGAGGTAGGCGTGCTGGCCAGTACAGGTGGATGGATATGGGGTCAGGGTGAAAGGTCATAGGGAATACATTTATTTATACACGATTTCACTACAAATCTCTATATAGACATTTATATTTCGGGGGGGGGGGTCAGCAAGTGATGATTATATGCTTCAAATTCATTTTTATTAATAAAAATAATTAATTCATTGGTCAGAAAGTCAAACTGCCAAAAGGTATAGTTCGCTTGATTTGATAAGGACCACAGACTACTACCAGTAAAATAACTGTGTATTGTAAGGCAAATAAAATTAAGAAGATATGCATTTGTTAATCTTGATATTTTTGTAATGCTTCGTATATACATAAATTTACCTTCTGTCTTCATTGTGTAAGATGTCTAGCCTTCTTTTCTTCTTCCAGACTGTAAAACTTTGATGAGAATGTTCATTTCTGTTTACTAAATACACATTGTACCTCCAAACGTTAGAGAGTATTTCAAGGGAAGTAATTAGGAAGCAAATAATGCTTCAAAATGTAGAAAAAAGTAATCTTTACCTTTGAATTTATTTTACATCTTTGAGTCTCCCTCCAATATTTTACATATTTTGATATAATCATATATCAGCCTTTCATAATTAATTATTACTAAATTTGTAATCAGTGTGCCTTTTTTGTTTTAAGCCTCTAAAAACGCCACTAAACCAATCACATATCTGATATGTTATAAGATGTAAAATGGTCATTTACTATCGAGAGATTAAATTAAAACTACAAATATAATTAATTTAATCTGTAGTATCAAATTAAAATAATGAAAACATATAAAGTTATCCCTTTTTATTTCTGGACACAGTTTTTCTTGATAAGTACACGTTTTTCAAAATTAACGAAATTGAGAATTTTGCGCCCCGTTTCTATGGCAATCAAGGGTCCATTTCATAAACCAACATTAAATTTTACAATTAATGACATAGCTATTTAAAATAATTATAAAAAAAAATCAAAATATTTTTCTATGCGTGGTCAAACAATTTTGATAATTACAGAGAATTTATATCAAAACGTATGAAAAGCAAAACGTATGAAAAGAGAATTTTACAGATTTTCACTAAAAAAATAAAAGATGTTGAACAATGTTTCTACCCATGCCATTCAAAAGGAAAATAACATATTACCAAAAAAAAAAACCCATTAATTTGATAAAGTGGTAACATGCCTTTTTTCTCTAAAGTTATTAAGAGCCAGTCCGCGAGAAAACCATGCAGAACTGTCCAAATCGAAGGTCGGCATATCTTAATGAAATTTGGTGGGTAGTTAGACTTTATAATATGTTATTAAAAATGACCAAAAAAGTTCCCCATCATTCAACATGGCAGCCGTAGGCAGCGCCACCTCCTTTTTGCTCATTTAAGTGCAAATGCACTTAAAAAATTCAAGAAAAATGGGAAAATTCACATTTGATTTTTTTTACGAAAATTAAATTTGCATTTCCATTAAGGTATTTTTAAGTAACAGATGGCTATGTTCTTTCAAAATTGACATTTATCAGAATCAAATATGCAATATATCAAAGGGCAGACAACTCTTAAAAATTGGCATGATGCCAACTTTCAAGAATTGCCAAAGGTATTACAAATTTAATGCCCAAAATCTTCCAAGACCAATCTTTGAAATTAATTTTTTTGATTTTATTGTACAAATATAACTCTACACATTATCTTTGCCAAACATTGAGCTTGGGAAATAATAAATAATTGAGATATGGTGATTTACAAATTGCCAATTTTCGAAAAAATTGCTCAAACTCAAGTGGGTTACAAAGTCAAATATAGTACTTTAAATTATAAATAATTGTTGTTAGATTTTGAAACATGTAACTATTTTCTTTGAAATAATAAATAAGATTGAAAAATATTAAAATTAAATAAAACTAAATTCTAGAAATTACCCCTAATATGAGGATTAGCATTTTGCCAATTGTTTAAAATGAAAAAAAAAACATAATAAATTGTATTGGCTTACTTGCAATTTTTCAACAATCATATGAATATATTTGTTCCTTACATTTTTGTAAGTAAGTTTTTTTTACAATCAATAAACGGGAAATTACAAGTATTTAAATTCAAACGGACTCGGTATCATTCATATAAATTTTGAGACTTGAACATATAAAATTTGAGTCTTCAGTGTTTGCTAGCTGGAGAACTGTAGCTCTCCGAAAAAAATATATATTGATAGACCGGGGGGCTACAGTGTCACCTGTATTTTTTTTTGCGCATAAAAAATGCGCTTGGCTCTAGATTAATTCTTCCAAATTCTTACCTCAATTGCAATAATTCAATAAAGTCCTACATTTTTTAATTAACGGCATGGTTTACATCACAGGTGCTGAAGGACAGGACCCCCCCTCCCAATACAATACAATGTGATACAATCTATCCTATCAATTTAGAAAATTTGTTTAAATTAAGTTACATTTTATGAAAATATCTATCCTCTCTATATAATTTTTATATAGAGAATGTTGAGTAGATTTAATAGAACGTTTGTTTTAGGTAATTTTTCGATTTGCTGATATAAATCTTATCACAAATATGGCAATGAAAGATATTTTATGAGAAAAAATTCGAAAAAGCCTA